GCGCTCCATCCTTGACACTAGATGATTCTGGGCTGACATTCCACTGAAGCTGGTCAGATTGGAAGCAACCAGAGGGAAGGGGTCACGAGCTGCCTAGCTTCCGAGTCTCCCGCTATGGCCTGGAGGGGGTGGACCACCCAGAGGCTCTTCCCTTAGGAAAGCCCCCACGCAGGGGGTTTCTGGTTAAGATCCCAGAGTCCTGGACCCGCAGAGCTGCAGGCGTCCAGCAGTTTGGGTCCCTCTGGGACAGCAAAGAAAGTGGGGTTTGGAGAGGCAAGACTCGCGGTGGTGTCGTCCCCCTGGGGCTTGCCACGCGGACGCAGGGAGAGTGTTGGGGTCCCCGAGGTGCCGCGGTTGCTCGATTCGGAGGGTATCGGCTCCTTTTCTAACCAGCCTCCAACTTGAAGACAACTTCTGCGGTTAAGAGACGGTGGCCAGCGTGCGCCGAGCCTGGGGAGGAGTTCTTTCGCTTTCCCTCGGGGTTTCTTGTCTGGAAACTGTGGGACGCTGCTTCAGGGACCTGGTGGCGCGCTCTGACCAGTTCTTTCCAATCCTACACGGACAGCTGGAGGAGGTGGGGCTTTGGGCCACTGAGGATGTACACGTCCAGATCCGGAGCCAGAATCAGCATTTATTGTGAAAAATATTAGCGCCGCGCGTGAGATCAGCATTTCTCGGGAGGAGACACACCCGGGTTTGTCAAAAGTGTTTCAGAAGGGTAGTGGGTGGAGGTGGTGCTTAACCCATCTTTCCCTGTCTCCTCCCCTCATGAGACAACATTTGTTTGTTTCTTAGGAATAAAAAGTCCTGTCTAAACTCAGTCACTTACTTTGAGTGACCTCCCTGTCCTGCTACCCACGGACTCTTTAACAAGTAAGTGCTCCCATGTCCTCCCGATTTCCTTGCCATGCGCTCAGCGGCCCTGCACCATAAACCGTGAAACTGCAGGCTGAACGTCAGGCTCCAGAAATCCTTTCAGGAAATTCCAGAGTGGAAGACCAGAAGTGCCTTCCCACCCATCTCTGCCCTGCCCTCGGGCTCCACAGGCTGCGCCACCCCACCCAGACACCACGCCCACCCCACCCTTCTGAACTCTTGTGGGTCCTAAATCAGACTTCCACCGTGGATTGAAGAGGAAAATAAAGAGCCATTTACAAATGTCTTTCTTCAGCCCAAAATGCCTTTCGGAAGACAGTCTGAGTAGACCAACATTGTTCGTAATCATAATTTGGTTATGACAACAAGGGCAAAAAGGTAACACCTTGAAAGAGCATGGATTTCAGAATCATATCCATGGGTGTCATTTACAGCTCATTCTTCTGACAAGCTGAGTGATTCTGGGTAAATCACTTGACTGAGAAGTCTATTTTTAAAATTTAAACAAATGTTTTCTTGTTGAAATATAGTCAGTTATGATGTGCCAATTTCTGGTGTCCAGCATAATTTTTCAGTCATCCATGTACATACATATATTCGTTTTCACATTCTTTTTCATTATAGGTGACTACAAGACATTGTATATAGTTCCCTGTGCTATACAGAAGAAATACTTTTTAAAATCTATTTTATAGATAGTAGTTAGTATCTGCAAATCTCAAACTCCCAATTTATCCTTTTCTACCCCCTTTCCACCCAGTAACCATAAATATTTGTTTACTATATCTGTGAGTCTGTTTCTGTTTTATAAATGAGTTCATTAGTGTCCTCTTTTTTCTTTTTTTCTTTAACATTTTTTAATTGAGTTATAGTCATTTTACAATGTTGTATCAAATTCTTTTTCTTTTTAGATTCCACATATGAGTGACATCATATGGTATTTTTCTTTCTCTTTCTGGCTTACTTCACTTAGAATGATGATCTCCAGATCCATTCATGTTGCTGCAAGTATCAAGATTTCATTCTTTTTTATGGCTGAGTAGTATTTCATCATCTGAGTCCATTTTTTTAATCAATAAAAAATGTTAAAAAAAATAAAATGTTAACACAGAAAACTTTTTCTTGTAATAAGTAGACCTTTATGTATGAGCTGGTGCCCCAAGAGGAGCCCACCAGGCTGTCATTAATAGCAGTTCTCTTTTCTCTTTTTCTTTTTCCCCTTAACTTCCCCCAGATCACCCTTCTGTAAGGAAAAAACCAGGAAGGGAGTCACAGCCATTCTAAGGACCATGACAAGTAGATCTTCCCAGTGGGAGGTTCTGGCCAACTCCACCATCTTTTGCAGTGTTTGACACAGTTCTCAGGGCTCAGTCACATGAGCTTCAGCTATTCAGCTTGTTTGAAGTTTAAAAGTTAAAGTCTGTCTTGTTACTTATCAGTCACACAAAAACACACATAATGGCGCTCCCAAAAGGCCATGAAAGAGGCCTTTATTGATCAGTCTGGTCCCCTTGGCTCCCCCAGGCTTAATCTCTCACACTCAGACTGGTCACATTCCAGCTCTTCCCCAGACCACAGTGCTCCCTGAACTCCTGAAGTTCCTTGAAGCCAACTGGATTTCTCATTCAAGTTATTGTTCCAGCAAGTGGAGAGGAAGGACATACACACTAAGAAGTAGCTTTCTCCTAAAGTGGGCTCTGGACTTGGGGAGCAAGACGTCTGACTCTTGCCCCACACAGGGGATCCCTGGAGGTGTCTGGGGGGGTTGGACCACCAGGTGGGGGACTGTCCCAGAGCCCATCTCTAGCCCAGCTCAACTTCGGGGTTGAATCCAAGATAACCCTAGGCATTGTGTCTGGGTGGAGGGGTCGAGTAAAGCATTGCTAAGCCTCTGTTCTCCTGTACTCCACACGTCTCTCTTGGTTTATTAAAAGAGACATTAAGAAATCCTTTAAGTCCCATCACAACTTGAGGATCCAGGCCAAGGAAGAGACTCTGGGAAGCATTGTTTTGGAGGTGGGCAGGTGAGGAGGTCCCACGGTTAGCTTCCTGGAGGGAAGTGGCTGCCCATCCCCAGCAGAAAGAATCAGAACACGGGTTTGGGTGACTGGTGTTCTAAACTGCATTGCCGATAAATCAGCTAGAGGTTACATACAGGCTGTCTCACTTTCCATGTGTGACATCTACTTCCAGAGATCTTTAAGGGCACAGAGCTTACTAGAGGTTATCACCAGAAGAAAATCAGACTCCAAGAGTGTGAAGGGGACCAGATAGCAACATTTACATCACGTCTCGATACGGCATGTGCATTGTGTATTCTGAACCCCTAACTACGCAGACAGAACTTCCTGTGGCAGGCATGCGACGTCAGATTGACTGTTTAATAAATATTCTTGGAAAATGCACTGAATTTGAAGAACTACATAAACGGAATACAAATCACAGCATAATGTTGGGCACATTGCAGGAGGGTCAATGTATACTTGTCACATGATGTATTTCCTATCACACAGACTTGGCCCTTTGGCTGATATGGCACTGAAATTAGTACTGCGTATCATTCAGTAAAGTCACTCCACTCATGAAAAAGAAAAAAACCCTAAGGCAGAACCCAAGCATCTGGGCAGCGTCGCAGGGCTGGGGAACGTCAGGGGGCCGATCTGGTACAACCCGAGGCCGCTGCTTTACGCCCCTCTGGTGATCCTGCAGGCGGGCAGAGAGGAGCAGGCCGTCCTATTTTCACTTTTCTACGTGAGCACAGGCAGCTAAACACAATTTTCATTTAACCACCAACGTGCATTTTAGAAAAATGCCATGCTCAACTAGGATGAAGAGAGACAGCCTTTTAGACAATCAGAGGCACCTTTCCCGGCAGAACACAGCTGAATTGCCGAGCTCAAATCCTGACTGGGCCATACATACATTGGGCTCAGTGTTGTGAAATTCTGCCCACCTGATCCCAACGTGCAATTTGCCATCTCAAAGCCGCCAGGGCCGCAGCCACTCTGAGCTGCACCTGTGGTTTCTCAGTGGGCCTGCCCTGGGCCATCAGACCCCCATCCAAGAGGCAACTGGCCATCAGGGACCCAACTGTCCCGTCTGATGGCTCCCCAGTGTCCCCTCATCCTTTCTGTCCGCCTCCCGGGTGACTGTCTAGCCAAGAACCCTTGGGACGGCCCTCAGCTCTGCTGGGAGGCTTCCCTGTGGACAGACGGGCTCTCGGTGCCAACCGCCACCTCCAGGTGACTCAGACGTCTCAAATGGGGACACCTCTCCCCCATCCTTGGGGCTGCAGTGTCCGGGGACGCGGGAGAGCGCGCGCCTGGGCCGGGAAGTGGCGGCTGGCAGCCAGTGCGTTCCGGAAAGAGGTCCTCTTTAACCGGAAAATTGACGGGAACCTCTCCCCTCCCTCCCCCGGTCTGGCGCCCGGAAGTGCCCGCAGGGGTCTGGGCTGTTCGCGGGCACGCGGAGGCCTGGGCGCCTCCCTCGAGACTTTCTTGAGGTTCGGCCGCTAGCGGTCGCCCCTCTGGACCCCGCGGCCCCCAGACGTGCAGGTGCTCTGGCTTCGTGGCGGGAGGGACCCCGC